ACTGCCTCTTCGTCCTCCTCCACAGATGAGTCTGTAAATCACGTCTTGCAGCGCGGAACTTGGCTTCTGCTTCATGCCATGATCCCCCCAACAGACAGCTGGGCACMACATTCTTTGATTCACCAGCTGATTCTTTCCCACCCAAAATACCATGTAATTACAGAGGAAGACTGTGGAGGTATATTTTTTGTATTATAAATGAATGAAGCCTAACAGGGAGGAAGAAACCCCTCAAAGTTGAGCTATCAGATGGGGTCCTGTATGCAGAGGAGGTCTCTGGGATGGGAAGCTGTCCCAGCAGCAGGTCTGAAGCCCTTCTGCTGTTGTGTAATCTGATATGCAAAATGAATCCTTTCTCACATCATCTGCCATGGTGCTGTTGCATGCAGTCAAAAGGAAAGAGATTTGAAAGGTATCATGATATCTGTGGGTCATTGCAGAAGGCCTTCTAATGCACAGACTTTGTATTTTTTTTTTCTAATCAGCATGCCAACATAATATAATATTAAGGCACCAGATATTTTCTTTATCTTCTCTTGGAATTTTCCTAGCCAAATTTGATCTGCTGTGATCTAGCAGAGTATGTGCTATATTAAGGTGAGAAAAAAAAAAAAAAAAAGCACTGGAACTGTACAGCTGTATTTACAATATTTTTGTATAAATTAAATATTAATATGAATACGGACAAAGAATATTTTCAGGATCAGAGAGCTCTAATAATCTTATGCATTTTACATGACGCTGATTTTTTGCTTAAGGATAATGTTTATTAGTCTCACTTCAACACTGTGCTCCATCAAGATTAATTCTGCACTGAGTATTTTTATAGCAGTTATCTTAGTTTATACATATGAAAGTAGATATTTTATTTAGAATTATGACATGGAACCATTATACTGCCTAGTTAAGGCTAGTTATTACTTGAGAATGGCACAGATACAAAAGAGCTAAATAAGATTTTTAATAATGCAAGTTTTTTTGCTGGGGAAAACCCACAATAAAACTTAATGTGATTTTGTTATTTAGTTTGAAAGACCTACTAAAATGGGGACTTAATCTTGAAGGTAGTATAAAGGAATGCTATATGGAATTTACTAAGCTCTGTAAGTAGTTGTCTAAGAGTATTTTTTCTAATACCCTAAAAATAAACAAACTAAAAAAGCACAGAGGACTGTGTCAGTGGTACCTATTTGACATATCAGAAAACCTTGCAGGTAGAGCTAACCTTCCCACAGCAAGTATTGGAGATACCAGGAGAAATGTCTTGGTTCTACTATAACAATTCAATCAAATATGAGGTGCAGCTTTCTGCACCAAGTCCCTAGCAGCCACATCTAGATAGAATCATCTTCATATTCTTTCCCACCTCCTCGACTATGAAAGGAGGTTACACCATGTCTCCTTCTCCTCTTCTTTCCTTTTCTCACAGTCAACACACACCTCCTCCCAAGAGCTTCAAGAAACAGAATGACATCATTTTTGTGTCTCTGCTAGCATGAATCTCCTTTTCTTTAGGATATGAGCCATGTTGCATGGATACTCCCCACACGGTGCTCCACACTACTCAGACTGTTGTTATATCTCCTGCTTCCAATTTCTTTAACACCTACAGAGATCTGTAGGAAGGACCAGTGACTTGCTCAGATGGCACGAAAGTGTTGCACTATACCAGATGGCAACACACAGCACTGTAATCTGAGCACAACATTTAGATGAAGCGCAGAATTGCCTCACAGCTTAATGTCTTCTTGTCCCCTTCCCTACCCACTATCCTCCCAAATTGGCCACCATCACTTGTAGAGGAGCTACTGTGTATCAGGGTCTTGTCTTCCATATCTGCAATATTAAAATCTCCACCCCTTTTCTCATCCACCTCTCTTCCATGCTCTCCTTTTCTGTTTTAGTACTGAAGGAAATTGAGGTTATCTTGAATTAGAGATCTCAAGGAAGGACAGTCTGTAATTAGTCAGTTAAAATATATGTAAGCTATACTATGTGTGTATATATGTGTGTATACATATATATATGTATTTATGTGTGTATAGCTATCCTCCATTCTTCTGCCTTAATCCCAAACCAAGAATTCTGTATTAATCCTGTAACCAGGATGATAGAAGTTCGCCAAATATCTGAAAACAAAAATACAAGTTATCTCCTTGTTTTTAATATTTTGTGAACTTTTATCATGCTCACAGGCAGAGTCTTCAGTCAGAGAAATACACTGAAAGATGCAAGATCAGCAGCTCCCTTAAAACAAAAATGCTGCATTTGAAATATCATTGCTTGAGATAATTATTTTGAGAAATTCATTGTTGAGGAGAGTGCTGAGTCCTATGTTCACAGCTCCACAGTAAGATTTCTTAAATTAAGCTCATTTCCTTTTTCTTCCACTCCTGTAAACATTGCATTATTATTTTAAAAATGCAGAACGAACAAGAAAGTTTAAGATGAGGCACTTTAGAAATTGTCTAGGATGGGCTGTTCAAAGAATGAGTCAGTATCTGCTTTTCTTGTCCTTTTGCTCTTCCTTAAACACCTTCTTGTGGCTACTTTACAGATTTCTCTATGCTGCCTGACCCTAGCGAAATCTCAAAGCTCTCCCTGGGAAGGGGAAAGCAAACCAGGGAGAAACTAAAAGTTTTCAGGAGACAACAAGTGAAATAAAGGAAGGAACGTTAAAATTAAAGTGTCAAAAAAGAAAAAATAAAAACAAACACAAACAAAAGCAGAGACTTCAGCAGAGCAGCCCTGTCCAAGAATGGACAACACACAGTCACCAGGGCCATCTGTGAAAAGGTCCTGCAACACAGCAAGGCCTTTGATGGAGGTATAAAACTTAAAAAGGTGAGGAGAAATGTGCAGCCAGAATCTCAGAACAAGTTYTGGAGGATCAGGAGGGACTAGAACTTGTTACACTCACTGTACATCTGTGCCAGGGTCTCTCACTGCAGAAAGGASAAGAATACAAGTTACTGAGTGAGATGACCTTGGGTCAAGATGATCTGGTACAACTTTTACCATGTTGTTTGATGCTCTTCATTCTACCATCTTTTCCCCAGCAGACTCAATAAATATGTTATGGATATTTGCATTGCTCTCATCTTCTCTTAGAACATCTGATCAGATAGGGTTTGGTTGTTTGGAGAGTCTCCAGCCTACTCTTGTCTCCCTGCTTCTTCAACAGAATCACTACTTTGCCTTCTACTGGCTTTGGRTAACCTTCATGCCTCAATGCTGTTAGAAGTACCTCATTTGCTGAGAAATACAGCTTTGGACTTTCTGGTTATCATTAATAGCTSTTTCTACAACATACTGGTATTCCCACTTAAACAAAATCACCAGGTCATTGCTAACAACCAATTCTTCCCTCCACTAAAGTGTCAAACCACCTGCAGGAGGATATCAGTGCCTGTCCTGAGTACTTGTGCCTGCAATGAACCATTCCTCAATGCTGTAAGGACTGTGGACTAAACTAGATCTAACAAAAGTTTCTACTAAATTTCCACGAACTTCATATTATTCTTAATTAACATAATCATTTAAAATAAAACATATATCTATTTTGAATCAGTCTTCTGCAAGACAAACACTCCATCGGAAATATTTTAAACTGAAAAAGACTACAATGTCACATAGGTAAAAAAGACTGGTCAGGAAATCCCAGTGGAAAAGTAAGATGGATTCCAAAAAAAAAGTAATTTGAGATTAATATATGAAATAGTGTTTTTTTTCTCCCCATATGTCACTGAGAAATCTAGAATTAATCAGGTTGGAAAAGTCCATAGAAGGTCATTTGGTGCTCAAAGTAGGGCTAGCACTGAATTCAGACCCAGTTGCTCAGGATTTTATCCAGATAGTTGAAATTTTTCATATACAGAGTTTCTCAACCTAATGGSCAAACAGTTCCACTTTTTCATTCTCCTCTTAATGAAAATATTTTCCATGTATAAAGTGAAAATCTGTCTTTTTAATTCATGATCATTGTTTTCTGTTGTCCCAACATATATTGCTGTAAAGGGCCTGTCTCTGACTTCTCAGTAGCCAATTTGGAGATTTTGGATGGGGAACTCACTACAGTTGAGTTCCCCTGAAGTTCTCTCTTCTCCAGGCTGAACAAGCCTCTTAGATTGTCCTTGCAGGGCAAGTGCTATGTMCCCCAACCATCTTGTGGCTGAACTCATTTGAGTTCAGCGATGTCTTGGTGGGTCCAAAACTTGACCCAACAGTATTGTAGATGTGATCTAATGAATGCTGAGTGAGCAGGAGAAGCACCTTCCCCCCAACCCATTACCCACTTCACTAAGGGGAAAAAGCACCAGGATTTTATCCAGCATGCCCAGAAAAGGCTTGAATTTATGAGACTGTAGGGGTGGACCAGTCTCTGAATCTTGGTTTCTGAATCTTTTTTGAAAGTGCTGCCAACGCAGGGGAACTTCCCCCAGCATAACCCAGAATTTCCCACACGTTTTTGCTGGCAGGCRCTGATGTTCATGACTGTGTAGCCTATCTGCTGTCAGTGCCTGAAGAAAGCAGCCCTTGACTTAGAAGAAAACAAAATAAGTATATATACTATCATGTGCTCTATTTCACTTACCATCACTCTATCTGAACACTTGAAGAAAAAAATCTCCATGAATACTTTGCAGGGCAAGCTAAGATATTATATATTCTTTTATATTCAAGTAAAATATACTCCCCTGCTGTGAAATGAAACTTTTTGCACAATTTTACACCTGATGTATAAATTCTTTATTAAATCCTGGAGCTCCAGTTCAACACTTCTGGCACACAGTCTCCTTGAGCTACCTTTACCATTAATACTCTGCCTTTACARTCCTCTACTGGGGCAACTAATTTCACCAAGAACAATGAGAAAAAATAAACAGTTTGTAGAAATCAGAAAAGACTATTGTTTATGATATTTGCAGCTTTTGCTGCTGAGTAACCACACAGATTGTACCCACTCCCACAGAGATGGAAATTAATAATATGTGAAATACCTGTGCAGCTTGAGCRTCACAGTTCCATAAACAGTAGCAAAGCCCAGAAGACGAACCCATCTTAGGAGAACACAGCGAAATACGCTTGGCTCAAAATACAAAATGACAACCTATAGAACAGAAAGATAGAGAGAGCTTCAGTACTGCCTTAATGTGAAAGTAGTTCTTCATACAAATGCAGAATAATTACAAAACAGGACAGCAGACATATTTCAGCTCGTACTGTTGTATATTTAGATTTTCTAGTAAAGTGACTAGATGATCAGATCAACCAGCTGGCACAGTTTTAAGCACCAGCTCCTTCTGAAGGGAGCTGGCAAAAGCCCTGTGACAGACTGTGAAGTGACAACACCTTTAWATGCAATTCTACTGACTTTCCTTAACCAAGTGAAAACATGTACTCAGAGAAGAGGAGAGAACAGACAGGACATTTTCCTTGAGCTACTCCAATAATACGCAGCTGGCCTAATTCTGGTTTCATGGACTGTATTTACTAAGTTACACTTTAAAGCCACTCTGTCTAATAAACCTAGAATTGAGTTGCTCATTTGTCTCTCACAACCACTCTATCAYAGTAAAGATGTCACTCTCTGTCACCGTCCCCCAAATCTTGATGTAACTTTTGGCTCTTCCTTGTTCCATCCCATATATTCTCACTAAGGTAGACTGATTCTGCCTAGGCATCAGCACTTGCTGAACCAACAATTTGTTTATTCTTTTGGATTTCACTGATCTCAAAAACAGAAAGTTCCTACTGGCTGAATTCTCTCTGCGACCCATTCTTGTAGTCCCCATGAAATGTATCTTCTCTTTCCTCATTGCTCCAGCCTTCGGTCCCTTTTCCCAAACACTTTGCCGCTTTCCTGTTAAGTACTTTAAATTCACATTTTCCCTTCTCGCTATCAAGGCAATAACACATAATGTCTGAGCTTCCTCCTGAGATAGCTCATTGGTATTCTCCTTTCAGTCCTGCCCTGGACATCTTCCAGCTAAAAACTCTGCTTGTAGCTCATTTATGTGTATGCAAGACACTTCTTGTTCCCCTCCATTCTTCCCTYAAATCATTTGCACACTTACAGGAAAGCTTTCAATTTAATCATTGGAGAGACGGGCAAAAAGATCGGTCCCACTTTGAGACTGAATTCTCACCCGTTTCCATCTCTTACCCTGTCTCCAAAATGCAGTATCAGGATAAGGCTGCTCTGGAACTTTTTATGAGCTGGAAGAAGGCCCATCCCTATACCCAGTGGGTACCACACCTAAGGACAACACTCAGCAAACAGTAACATAAAACAACATCTGCAGGTGTCATCCACGTAAAAGAGCTTTGGCAAGTAAAATGCTACCTTTCATCTAGAACAGGGCTACTTGGATGGTGRATCATGGTCACGATCTGATCCATGAACACATTTGACCTGCCCCCAGCAGCTGGTGTCTCTGGTGCCCCATGTCCCTTCCCGCTTGCCTGCCCTACCAGGACCTGCTGCCCAGGGTCTTTTGAGGGAGACCTGCTAAAATAACCCAGCCCACCACAGTACAAATTAATTGGGTAATCCTGGTCTAGAGAAAGACAGCACTGAAACATTTTAGGCCATCTGCCACTCGCCTTCATTTGGAGTCATTGCATTCTGGCAGTARAGGTAGTATTGTGCCTACCAGCTGCCACATGATATTATTTTCCTAAGTAAATGCTTTTCTATGTGGGAATTCAAGCCCAGGATATTGGCCAGAAGCCCAGGACTGTGTCCTTTGGGTGACATAGATGTATTTAGGAAAGGGGGGGCAAAGATGGCAGACGCGTGGGTTGAGAGAGAGCACGAGCTAGAAGAAACTTCTGTGCTTCCCTGGCATACCTTTTTCAGCAGAACCAAGCTATTTCTTTAAAAGATATGCTTGCCAAAAGTCAAACCACAGTGCAAAATTTTATGCTTTTTCTTTTTTTCATTGCCATTGGACTGAAGATGTTGCAAAGCAGACTTTTTCTGGGAATTTGAGAAATGCTGCACAAAGCGAAGGGAATTGCACGCACAAAAGCCCACTTTCCTCTCAAAGGTCAACATGAAAAATAAAATAAATTAATGCATCTGTGAAAATGCTTGTGTAAATACAGCATTTTCACAGGGAATACAGCATCCAGCAAGAAGTATCTCAGAAAGATCTAAATGACAGTAATGACCTATAACCCTAATACACAGTTTTACACATTAGAAGAGCTGAAGAACCAGGGCCGTTTGTATCATTAGTCTTCCTCCTGAGGGTTGCCAATAGGGTAGAAACCGTGCTGTTTCATCCTTGATTCTCCCCAACTCGAATAGCACTATTGAAAAGACAGGCATGCAGTGATTCTGAACATTTCAAGTTGATCTGAAAGCAGATTTTTTCAGAGGACTGAAATGAGTCTAAGAACTTTTCAGGCGCAGAATTTCCTCAACAAGCACAGTAGCTCTCAGCCATGAAGTCTGACACAGCACTCCTTTCTGAAGTTGCCTGCTGAAATATTAACTGCTTCTGTCTAGAAAATCTCATTGATTTCCTCAGAACCATTTGTATAAGCAGCTGAGGCATCTGCCTAATGACCAACCAAGAAAAACCCACTACATATACAGCATGGAGTGAGCTGGCAGCTCACTTTGAAGACAATGGAGACAAGACCTTCCGCTGGTGGAAACCACTCTCATTTCCCCATTTTAATACAAATACTTTTTAATCAGTTCTTCTCCCATTGTTAGTTTTATTGGAAGTCGCCAATGATGCAATCGAAGTCTGACTTTCTTTTGGGTCTTTTGAAAAACCTCTTCCTATATTTAAATGATGGAGAATAACTGCAATGCCTACAGCTTACATGTGATGTAATATGGACCAAGACTCATTGGGCTGTTCAGCTGCATGCTCTCTCTAAGCTTTTGTCAGCATTAAGTCTTTTATAATCACAATAAAAGCACAAGTGGTATTTGATTCACTTGCTCCTGTTATTGTATGGCTCTTATGGTATGAAGTTTTAGGGGCAAACCTTTTAAACAGAACCATCTTTAGTGACCTGGAGCCAAGGATCCAGAGAAGCACTCCCCTGGAAGCTCAGCATATCAAAAATCATGTGTTTCATGAGAGAGCTTTTCAACTTAGTGAAATAACATTCTTACAAAGAACTCATGTCCGGTCAAAGTCCATCCTCTCTATGGCTAAGAAAAAAATGAAGCAGAGATGCCTTATTTTATTTTATTTTATTTTATTTTATTTTATTTTATTTTATTTTATTTTATTTCAACCTCCTTCTAGTTACAAAAACTCCCATTCTCTACTGTCTTCCTAAAAGCGATGTACAATATGCAGCATATGTTGGCCAGCTCTAAGCAAGGAGCAGAGGATGAGCACAGGATTCACCCAAATACCCAGGCTGCTGTYGGTGGAACGGGAGAATCCCTCTGTAGCTCTAAGTGACAACTCTGACCACCAAAAACATGACAATAATTAATTTTCCCTCCTTCGCTTTTTTAATCCATTAGACCAATTCAGCAGTGTAAATCTCATGAAAAATCCTTATAGATTTGAGGATGGGTGTCACAAAACCCTTCACTACACATTAGAAATCTGATATCCTGATTTTCCCAGCTCCTGTAGTCTACTTAAATATTAGATGTTAGTTTCTGTTGGAAGGAAGAAAGGAAGGAAGGAAGGAAGGAAGGAAGGAAGGAAGGAAGGAAGGAAGGAAGGAAGGAAGGAAGGAAGGAAGGAAGGAAGGAAGATTTGAGGGAAAAAAAAAATTGAAAAAAAAAAAAAACAAACCAGAAGTGAGAAAGTGCCAATTCCTCTACCAGTTACTGCAGGTGAGCGTGAGACTTCATAAACTGTGGCTCATTTTTTTTGTCATTTGGACAAAGGCATTTAGATGTTTGTTTTTAACCTCAGAGTGTTTCGAGCCATTATTACCCTTGCCAACACGCTGTCCCAGTCAGCAGTCACACTATTGCTTGGAGTCRGACAGAAAGGCTTTCTAAGGTCAAGATAGAGCTGGTGAGTTACAGACATGGAAGAAAGGCTCAGCCTGCTGACACAGCATTCAGTCAGCTCATTCTGCTGCCATGAGGAACAGATACACTTGCTGTCTAAAAACAACAGCTAAAATCCACTCGGGCCGCTCCCACATGGTGGTGGTAGGTTTTTGTTATAACAACAGGTGCAATAATGGTGCAAACAGAGCTAACATTGAACAATTTAGTATTCGAAAGCAGAACAGACATAGTAGTCACAAATAAAAGGCACAAATACATGAGTTTTATGGCTTTGTTGCATTTTTTTTCTTAAAAGAAAAATACCTTATAGCATGTTTTCTTAAGAGAAAAGATCTTCTGTAAGGCTTCTGCAATGTTAATAGCGAGTACTAATTCAGTGTAACACAAAAACTTCTTTTGCTTCTCAGATCAAGTTTACAGTATAAGTTGTAAGATTATTAATTTTGGAATAGATTTTTTTGCAAGAAACATTATTTTCCCACAGAGGCTGGGGAAAGTATTTTAATTCATACGATGCAGTTCCTCAAAAGGGATTCAGTATGCCTAAACTGGACATACATTTTCTGCCTAAATTTTAGATGCCTACTAATTCAGCCCTACTAATGCCCAATTCATATATAAACCATGGGTAAGAGCAGTTGTCTTTGACAGCCTTGATGAAGTTCAGAACTGAAGTTACTTGGATGGAAACTCCACCTGAAAGCTTTCAAATACACGCCCCCACAAACTAGAAAGGTRCTTAGGGAGTTATTTTAGAAAAGTAGCTTTGCTTTCTGTCCATTAAKAACCTACCTTAGGAGGACTGAGCAAAACACTCCAGTCAACTCTCATAATCRTGTAATGCATTTAAGACAACTTCCTTCCTGTTTTCTTACATCTCTTAAATCATAAAAATCAAATGCATTTATCAAATTCCTCTTTAATCAAGAAATCTCTGTTCTTCATTTTAAGAGGGAATGTGCATACTACAGTGGCTCAAGAAATCAGATGGGAAAGGCACGATCCTAAGAACAAGGGTTTTTTTAGAAAACATGGAATTGATAGTTCTACAAATCCTAAAGCTAAATAGTCAAAATTTTGAGCAGGATTTTAACTCAAAA